ACTCTGAAGGCAGCTGATAACTGGCATACGGCCCTGATCCCCTCTCTGCCTCCGACACAGAGCCCTCCTCAGAGCCTTCCCCAGACTCCAGGTTCTTCCCCAACCCTCCTCACTGTCCAAATTTACTGACAGCTGGTGGGCCACAACATCTGTGATGTAACTTAGTCAGGCCCCTGAATGTGACAAGTGGCCCTCTACATTTTATGAACAAATAAACCTCTGGTTCTGGTTGTCTGAACTGCCCTGTCCGTTTTCTCTTTCAGATGGATCTGGACCACCCGGGACCACCTTCCCCGCTCCCCTCGCAGCCCATCCCCCCTCGAGGGAACCTTGTGGGGCTGGCATCCCCAGGGGTCTTCTCTCCCGCCACCGTGTCCTTCATCCCGGAGGGAGCCATTCGCTACCAGCCAGAGGGATCGAGCGGAGTATCGTACGTCGGCGGGAACGTGCCCAGCGGGACGCGGATGGACTCTCTGGGGGAAGCGTTCCATGCTCGGCTGAAGCCAGACGGGTCGCGCCGAAGAGCCGAGACGGAGCCACAAGAACAGGCCGGCGGGAGACCGATCCCGCCTCTCTCCTTGGAGATCAGCCGGGTCCAGCCGGAGGGCTCGGGGCCGTCTGGGTATAACACACCGACTTTGCGTTCTCCAGTAGAGCTGCGCCCCTTGTCCCCTGGATCGGGCAGCTCCTCTTCGCTCTCCAACCTCTCCCCGTCCATGAAACTTAGCCAATCCCCAAGCAGGGGGGCCCTTCCTGACCTCTGCGCCTTGGACCCCCTGACCTCGGGGATTCTGGCCACCGTGGAACTGAAGGACTCCCTCCCCAAGGCCGAATCCAGCGACCACATCTGCCTGAGTCGGCCGGGTTCGTCCCACCGCTTGGGCTCTCTCTCCAAAGCCATCTCCAGCGAGTACCTCTCGGGGGGCCGGGTGGGGCCTTCCAAGTCTGCCATGCTCGCCAAGGCCGAGTCGGAGGAGCTGACTTCCTACTCCAGGGTCCGTCTCTCTCCCCAGCTGCAAGAACCGCGGGGCAACAGCAGTAACCGCACGGAGAACTTCCTGGAACGATTCGGCCGGCCGCAAACGAGGCAGGACAAGGAGTTTCGGTGAGGTGCAGTGTGTCTTGTGTTTGTGTGTGGGTTGGGGAGATGGAGGTACCCCAAAAGCAGGCGAAAGGGCTTAAGGGGAGGCATGGGTGCCAATGCTTCCCAACCTTGGCGGCTCAAAGAATGTGTGGACTTCAACTCCCAGAATTTCCCAGGCGGAGAAATACTAGGTGTTTCGATCAGAAATGTCAGCAGTTCGGCAGTTCGAATCCCTAGTATAGGTCTCCTCTGCGAGCTGGGGGTTGAACTAGATGACCTCCAAGGTCCCTTCCAACTCGGTTACTGTTAAGTTCACTGCCTTAGGCTCTGGACTTTGCCTCTATTTTGGTCCAGCACCTAAATTAGGGGATGGAAAATTTGAAGGAGGGGCTTGAGTCTGCTTTGATTGCGTCATTTGGCTCCACCCCTTTTAAGGTAACTTGCTAAGAATTATTCAAAGTTTACAAAGTTAGCCTTTTGGAGCGGTTAGGGGTGAATGGAAACCAGGGGGAACGAAGCCCCCCAGGTCAAATCATGGCACTCCAGTGGACGTTGGGCCAGTCCCCCCCAGCCCAGTCTCCTCCACAAGTCAATTGCAAGGATAAAAAGAAGAGAGGTTGTTTTGCTCCTTGGAGGAAAGCTGGAGTAGAACTGGAATAAAGCTGCGAGGTGGTGCTTTCTCCCCCAAGAACCCCTGAGGGGGTTCACTGAGGCCAACTCACCATCTTCTTTTAATGACCCCATAATCCCTTGCAGGGGTGGAGTCTGGGCAACTGAATGGAAGTAGCAGAGTGTTTTGAATGGCCGGATGCTATTCCCTGTCGCCAGTACGGAGTTTTGTTCAACACATATATTCTCAGTGTGCCCAGAGAGAGAAATATCTGCCGCTACCTAGGATCGAACTCACAGCCTCCTGACTGTGAGGCGAGAGCTCCATCTCTAGGCCACCCCACCACCACTCCTGATGTCCTTTCATGACTCCTGATCATCATCCTCTTCTTTTAACGACCCCATAATCCTTTGCGGGGGTGGAGTCTGGGCAACTGAATGGAGCTAGCAGAGTGTTTGAATGGCCGGATGCCTTTCCCTGTCACCAGTACGGAGTTTTGTTCGGCAGATAAATTCTCATTGTGCCCAGAGAGAGAAATATATGCCGCTACCTAGGATCGAACTCATGGCCTCCTGATTGTGAGTCGAGAGCTCCGCCTGTAGGCCACTGCAGCACTCTGCGGCCAACTTAACAATTCAATTATTCAAAACAAAATAAAAAAAAAACAGGTTAATTTTTGCCATCCGCCTTTCATCCTGTCTCTCCATTTGCATCCTTCCTTTAAGGATTCTAGCCCACCATTTCTTTAATCGATTAACAGAGTTGGAGGGGACCTCAGAGGTCATCTAGTCCAACCCCCCCCCCCGCTCAAGCAGGAGACCCGACACCATTTCTGACAGATGGCAGTCCAGTCTCTTCTTGAAAGCCTCCAGGGATGAAGCTCCCACAACCTCTGTTCCATGGGTTGATGGTTCTCCCC